TGAAGTTTTCATATTTAAATCTTCAGCTCTGGATTCCTAAAGCTCCCGTCCTCGTTCCTGGTATTGCTCGGTAACTAAGTAGTTTCTGTTGTTTCTGCTGGTGTAGCGTCAATTGTCAACTTGCTATATTTTCATAACTTTTCCTGTTTACGTCTTCGTAGTGGATCTTGCTATTGCATACACATCCGGATTTATATGGAAGCTTAACTCGGATCCTGTGTATCGCTATTCTTGTGCGCTCTCAGACGGGTGGTTAATCGTGATTTTATTTTGCTTTCAAAATTCTTGATCTATTTAGCCAGATCGACACAAAGTTATTATGAGCCTTTGATGGAAGATCCGACTCCGGAGTCCGGTGTGACAGCTAATCAGTGTGTTGTTGTAAATTTCACTGCCAGCACCGGGCTACGCATTTTGCCCGATTGGGAATTGTTCGATCATGCTCCAATCTCACCCCCGGTTCGCACCGGTTGTGACCCTGTCGAGACTGTGCTCGATGCGAAATTAGAAGATCGGTGCATGGATCGTTCCAGTCCCGACCAGCCGAACCCGGTCGAGTCGCAGTTTTCTTCCCTGCCTGATCGTTTGAATGAGCAGGGTGATGTGGGCCCGTTCGATCATCCTAGTCCTCCGATGCACGGTCTCATTCTCCTGTTCCGGGTTTCTTTTGTTCCATCCGAGAAAGAAATTTGTTTTGTTTTTGATGCTTGTTATATTCGTTTTGTCAGACCAATTTGTTTATCCGGTTTACCTCAAAACACTATAAGAAGAATTTTTTCGTTCGTTTTGCACGAGTTTTTCACATCGAATTTCTGTCACGGTTATTGTTACTGATTTATGGACAACCTGTGAGTTCACATTCCTTAAACGCTGACGTCGTTGGTCTGCTCTCATTTGCCGTTTTGTAGCCACCAGCCGTGAGGTTTCACCCTCCCGATTCACATATGCGTCCTACGGGATCTCAAATGACGGTCAGCCCATGTCCTATAATGCTTCCGGCTACGCCAGTCGTAACGGAACAATGGGTCAAACAATGGGCAACGCTGGTTACGCTCCGTCCGAGAGCGGTCTCATCAATCCGACTTATCGTCCGCCGGTCACTTCGCGTATCCCACGCAGTCAAGGTGCGAGCCGGGAAGGCTCTCCCACACGTTCCGTAGCCAGTGGCTATTCAGCAGCATCCTATCAGAATCATAGCCAAGTTTCCCAACCAAGCCCGATGTCACGTTTCGGTCTCACGAATTCAAGTTACAGGGCTCGTCAAAGGCGTAAGTACACGCACACACACAGCCTAATTGACCGCAGTTTCCTTTTCGAAATAATATGCTTATCTCTTAATACTTTGAGAAAGGTTTCTGGTGCAATGATTTGTCGTACCGAGCCAGTTTTCTTAGTTTTTCTTGATGAGTATCCCTTTAGTGAAGCGGAAGCAGTCCGAGTTTGGTTTTATCGGTATGATACGGGCAAATACGATTGGGGGTGAGGGGGGGGATTAGCGTACATTTCCCAGTTGTCAAAGTTTTGGATTGATTCCAATAGCTACGAGACGAGTGGGATTGAATGGAGGATTCCTTGCCATCCCGTTATTGAAATCATGTGTCCTCGCCCAGTGACAGAAAGTCGAACATGAAACAACTCAGAATCTTGTTCTGTCTGAGCCTATCAGTTCTGAACAACAGAGACCATTGTTGTTGTTCTTGTTGCAACCAAATTCTTTTAATCTTTCTATTAGAGAGTACGTTCAATTAATTCCACATTTTTCAAGTGCGTTATTCGCGATCTAATCAATTTTACCACTAGTACACCAAGTGAAAACTTGTGTAGAAGCCTAGTTTCCCAAGTGGGCAATTTGTATTTGCATAGAATTTTGCCTGGACTTGAGTCCGCGTTTCAGTTAAGAACTATCCATCTTCTCATTAAAAGACGGAAATAATAATAATAAAAGATTTAACCTCCAAGAAATTTTGAAGAAACGCGCTGTTAGTTTGTGTGGATTCTAGCGAGATGGGGAACAGGGGAATTTCTGTAGGGGGTATTGAACGATAAGTCGAACGCGTGGACGAATGGAGCGGCCTTCGGATAGGTCGCCATGCGAATAACGTGCAAACATTTCACATGCGTACAAGTGTATATAGTTCATACAGTTTTTTTTAGATAGATCATCAACGGGCATAAAAGATATGACTGATAATCGACAAACCGCGTCAAAAATTTTTGAAGGGTTTCTCAAATAATCCAGCAAAAACCAACGGGAACAGGAAAAGTACATTGATAAACAAAAAATAAAATGATTTTTGTTTTGCTTTGAACTGCCTCTGTCTTCGAAGTTGAGAAGATAATTCACACAATGTCGAAACCTGCCATGTTTCGTTTCACGAGACTTATGTGCTCACGAGCAATTCCCGCAGTTTGTTTCTCTATAACGTCTTCTAATTTCATTCATAGTTTTGTATGGAGGTTTCATGGGCCACGTTTCACAGTCAATTATTGTTTTCGGGTAGAAAGTTTTCTTCTGTCGCTTTGCAGTTTAAACTCGTCTGTTCCCATCTGTGGGCTGGTGGTTGTGGTCCTTGGATTTTCACACATTTCAATCGATTTACTCATCCCTCGTATTGCATTTCTTGTACACATTTATATCTACACCAATACACATGAAGCTCACAAATCCACCTGTAGCAACCGGGATCCACCGCGACTTGTTAATAAATGCGTAATCTCTCGTGTCTTCACCGCTGGGCACTTCGAGTCAGAACCACGGAACCCCATTCAACTGTGATTATTGCG